GGCCCTGAATAACAACATCTACTGTGTATTTCAAATGTGTCATTTGGGTGTCTGTGCAGAACAAATCTAACTAGAGAATCACTGGGTAAATAAAGAGGTCATTTAGTTACACACAGGATGCTAGAGCCCAGGTGGATGGTAATGAATGCCGATTTCCTAAAAGTGCAGTGAATGCAGAACAGCCAAGCACTTGAGCACATGGCATGGCATGGCAGGGGGGGACTGTGCAGCGGTTGCTATGGGAAGTGAAGAAGGATGAAGTGTCACGGGCTACTGTGAGTGTGCTGGTGCTGCTGCCTGAAGGAATGGTGGTCCCACCGATGGACGGAAGGGAATAAAGGGCAGAACAGTTTAGGGGAGAAGAGAGGGAAAAATAAGGAATCACATTGCAACATATTTGAGGTATTAATGAGATTCTGAAAAGAAGATGAAGAGCAGTCGAGTGGAAAAACAATGAGGACTTGAGAGGGGAAGAAACACCTAGAGCTAAAGATCTGGAAGTTCTTTTTTGTTTATTTGTTTGTTTAATCCTGCTCCTGGGATTGAAGGAATCAGGAAGTTTTTGCACAAAGGTCAACGTGGGAGTGAGGCGCTGAGTGGATGAGATTTCATAAAGATAATACATGGGCTGGAACCCTAAGGAAGACTGTGCTCACAAGAGGGGAGCCACAAAGAAAGAATCAGGGGTAGAAAAGCTAAGACCCAGCAGAGCACGTCTGTGTGTGTGTGTGTGTGTGTCTGCTATGCCAGGATTATCACAGCATTCTCGTGCTAGTGGTGTCATCTCTCTGGCTCTCACTCCTGCCCCTCCCAAACCTAAAGGCATCTCTGTGCCTCATGTATCTGTTAGCTCAGAGATGCACGTCTTGCCTGTTGGTCAGAAAAAGAAAAGTCCCCACTATAGCAATAGTCAAAGACCTGGCTGGATGACTCATCAACTGCCCTGGTCTGCCCCCAGTAACAGACCTCTGATCCTCTGACCTCATCCAGAGCCTTCCCTCTGACCCATGTGGCTTCCTCCCCCTCTTCCTTACATCCCTCTCCATACAGCTGTCAGACCCCTTGCCTCCCCATACTCCTCAGCACCCACCCTGGCTGCCTCTCCTCCCATTGTGCTCTAGTCTGTCATGCCAGCCGCTCTCACTGATGGGCTCTGAGGGAACACAGATCCATGAGGGGACATGGACCCATCCCTACCCTCCCTGCACCATAGATGAGTGTCTGAGATGCTCAGCATTTGGGGCCCTAAGGTTTTCCATCTAGGGTCCAATATTCTGATAGTGGATCTTCTCAGACTAAATGTATTAGATAATTTTAAGGTTTTAACGTCATAGTCAAGATGCCCTCACAAATCTGTGACAATTTTAAATACCCTTTTCAAATGTGAGACAATTTCCATTTCTTCTCGAACTGGTTACAATGCAGTGTGAAATGTTTTCTTCACATTTTAACGTCTCCCATAAAATAAGTAATACATCATGAATGTCATGATGGTTAATTTCATGTGTCAACATGATTGGTCCAGGATGCCCAGACATTTGGTCAAACACTATTCTCCGTTTTTCTGTGAGGCTGTTTGTGGATGTGGTTGGCATTGGAACTGATAAACTGAGTAAGTTGGACTGTACTCTCTAATGCCGACAGGCCCCCGCCAACCAACTGAAGGCCCAAACAGAACACAAAGGATGACCCTGAGGATAAGTGGGAATTTGCCCTTGCCTGACTTTCTTGAGGTATGACATCGGTTTTTTCCTGGCTTTGGACTCCTACTGCAACCTCACGTCTTTGTGGGTCTTGAGCTTGCAGACCTTGAGGCTAGAACTACGCCATCTGCTCTCCTTGCTTTCAGGTCTTACTTTTCAGAATGAAACTACATCTTAGGCTCACCTGAGCCTGCAGTTTGCTGACTGCAGTTCTTGGGGCTTGTCAGCCTCCATAATCCTGTGAGCCAAATCCTCATAATAAATACACACACACACAGACACACACACACACACCACACATGCGGTATTCTGTTTCTCTGGAGATCCCTGACTAATACAAATATTGTATTTTATATTTCTTTCAAAATGGGAAAGTAGCTTTTTATTTTGGTCCCCAAAATTCAGTTGAATGTTGTGTATACAATGATGAGATGAAAGTGTATTTTGATTATTAAAACAATTAGCTAGAACAAAGAAAATTCTCATGTTGTACAATCAAAAAACACATATTCTGGATGAATGGGAAAATCATAGGGTTAAAAATAACACTAGGAAGCCAATGATGGCTGACTTCAGGTTTCAGCGGTTGGATCAGGAGACAGTACGGACGGCTCGTAAATCCATCGCTGATGCACCACCGGGGGACTTGAATGAAGTGTTCAGCATTGTGTGGCTGCTTCATCTCCCCCAGGAAAGGGCAGCACATCTATTTGACCAGTATAACGAGGATCAGTTCACACTTCTGAAGACTGAAGGATGTGAAGATCAGGTCTTAATAACAAAACACGGTGACCTGGGTAATAGCAGATTTTTACATCCACGAACCAAAATGTCCATGAAGTTGGATCACTTCCAGAAAGAAGCCAGTGATCTCCAGGTAAAAGTAGACAGGGGTCTGAAGTCTTGGAGAAAATCCTGAGACAGTTGTTTAAGCACCTATGTGAAAAATCATCATTTCAAAGTCTTCCGCAGTGTTTGTGCTAAAATGATAGAGAGGCAACAGACTACTATATCGCATGTATTGAAAGCCGCCAGAGTGAGCCTATAAACTTCTTGCACGGTCACTGGAAATCAGAGTGGAAGTTCACCAGCACTCCACCTCCAGCTCAGAGAGTCAGAGTGCTGAAGATTCAGGTTCATAATGACGAAGATGGCCAAATTTAGCTGGTCAGTCATAAAGTCGTACACGATTCAACAACTGTTTCAAATGACGTCCCAACTGCCAATGAGTTTATTAAAATCACAAAGCACACAGAAAACGAGTAATCAGGCAGCAACTAGTGAAAACAGTCAATGTCAGACACCGCATTCAAGGCCCTTTGCCAGCAGCTTCCACTTACCCACACCAAAATTGACTGCAACAGACACTGGGCTACAGGATTGACAAAGAAAGGCAGAGTGCTTAAAAGTTGAACGTAGGATTCTTTAGTACGTGGAAAGCAAAGGATTCAACCTATACATGTAACGGTAAATGGGTGATTTATAAACAAGAGTGGTATGTTGCTGGGGCTTTCACAGTTACCGGGTTTTCTCTCCTCATAGAATATAGCATCCTCCTGATTCTTTTGTGTTCTCTGCCTTGTAGTTTTCGGTTTTCACTATATCGACCTCGAGATCTTTAAAATATTTTTTGCCATCTTTAATGTTGAAGAGAAATATCTATCCTGGAGTCATTTTACTGCTTAGGAAACTTTCCAAGTCACTATGCTCTGTCACTCATACAGACAGATAATATGTTCCGGACTTTCTATCTCTATCCTTCAAAGCGATTCAGTGGTTTCCACTAATCCACCAGCAGCTAGAGAGGCGGTGCTACGAACTAGACCTAAATAGACGACACAGTCATTCTCCTCCCTCCTACTGTCTGATGATCATCATCGATAGCATGTCCTAAGTGTAGTATTCAGAGGACTGAATTGGGGTCTCTCAGGTCCTTTTTGGGAGGGCAAAGGAAGTTTTCTGGAAATTCCATTATACCCAGCTTCTCTAAGGAAGTAGTTTTTCAATTCAGAGTTGAACTATGTTCCCTCTGTGTGGACGTGTTTGCTGCTTTCCCCTTCTCTCCTTGTCTCCTTCCCATCCACTAACATTGTACTTCGAGATACCGGCATTTCTGTAAGAGTTTTACCCATTTTGTTAAAATATTTTTATTTTATTTTTATGTCGGAGACACAGCCTTGCTCTGTCACCCCAGGTAAAGTGCAGCGGTGCCATCTTAGCTCACTGCAACCTCAAACTCCTGGGGTCAAGGGATCCTCCTGCCTCAACTTTCCGAGCTAACACCTATGGCTTGTGATACAGGTAAGCGCCACCAGGTCCAGCTAATTTTTCTATTTTTTGTAGAGACAGGGTATCCCTCTTGCTCAGGCTGGTCTCAAACTCCTGGCCTAAAGGATTGTCCAGCCTCGGCCACCCAGAGTGCTAGGATTACAGGTGTCAGCCACCCCGCTGGGCCCCATTTTCTTAAAATAGTCAGGAACTGCTGATACACCATGTATGCGGTACAGTATAAGCCTTGAAAAAAGGCAGATGTTGAAGAAATAATAGGTATCCTGTGCTTTAATACTTTGTGGCACGATTGTACTAGAAGCAAATTAATCAAATAAAGACACGGATCACAAACGGAAAATATATATAATAAATTAAGAGATTTCTTAACATTTAACCCTCCTCACGTTAACCATTTTTCGTGCACTATGCTTTGCATACGCTGATCTGGATTATGTTTGTTAATATTTGGGGCTTTTCTAGTAATGATGAAAAGCAACGGCATCTGTAGCCAGGAGCCAATAATCCAGCCGAGAGATGCAGGAAGAAGAAGCTGTGTTCACAGAACCTCACTCAAGTGGCGTCCAAAGCCGAAGGTCCGCAAAGGAACACGCAAGGGGTGATCAGTGAGAGGCAGGGAGAGGCGTGGCAGGAGGCCTCCTCCACTTGCAGAACAGGGACCCTCTGCTCTCCGCGGGCAGCCCGCTCCGCCTCCTCCTACACCGCCAGGTGTCCTGGGCTCCTCCCCTACTGCCCGCCCCTCGTCCCCGCCCCTCACTTGCGTCTTCCCTTGGAATCCTCGGCCCCGCCCCTCTTGTTCTGGCCCCGCCTCCTCGAGGACGCCAGGCCCGCCCCACATCCCGCCCCCCCTCCCCAGGCCCCTTAGCCTGTGTGCTCCTCGTGACGCACCGGCGCACTAGCGACCACTCGCCTTGTGGGCGGGGCCCGCTCCGGCGCTGGGGCAGTTCCCCATGACTCCGCCCACAGTCCGCCCCGGGGGTTGGGCCCGCCTCCGTGGACGTGCACTTCCGCCGACGCCTGGGCGCTCCCCCCTGTGCAGCCCAGCGGAGCTCAGCAGAACAAGCCGGGCGCGATGGATCGGGCGCAGGTGATAAAGACCCTCCTGGCCAGGCCTCTTCGGGCCGACGCGCGTCGGTGGAGGAACCCGATTCCCTTTCCCGAGACGTTTGACGGCGATACCGACCGGCTCCCGGAGTTCATCGTGCAGACGGGCTCGTACATGTTCGTGGACGAGAAGACGTTCTCCAGCGACGCCCTGAAGGTGACGTTCCTCATCACCCGCCTCACGGGGCCGGCCCTGCAGTGGGTGATCCCCTACATCAAGAAGAACAGCCCCCTCCTCAACGATTACCGGGGCTTCCTGGCCGAGATGAAGCGGGTCTTTGGATGGGAGGAGGACGAGGACTTCTAGGCCCGGAGACCCTCGGGCCTAGGGGCGGGTGCTCTGGGGAGGGTCCTCTGTGCCAGTTGCTGCCTCCAGGGTCGCCAGCGGCGCCCTCCCGCTGCACCTCCATCCCCACACCTCGAGTCGCCGTGATCTCCAGTGCGTTCCTGTCCCCTCCTGTGTCGTGCTTGCCTTTGTTCCAGGAATAGCGCTCCAGGCTGGCGCTGCTGCCTCTGGGCCTTGCTCTGGAGAGCGCCGCCGCCCTCTCCTACCAGCCGAGCCCCTCCCATGCACATTTGGACGCTGTCCTGTGCTCCAGCTGCAAGCTGGGGTCCTGTTACACACTGGACAGACCACCGCAGCTGGCCGCTGCCCACCGTCCCCCTGCCACACTGCCAGATTCCTGTGTCATTCTGCCCATATGCCTGTGCTGCCACTGCCATGGCTATCACCATCTCCATCCACCACATCCCACCAGCAGACTGCCGTTCTTAGTGATCTGGACTCACCTTGGGGGTATCTGAGCTGGCCACAGCCCTTGGACAATGATTCAGACAGCTGGTTACCCCTTGTGTTCCTGTTATATGGCTGGCAGGGCCCAGGTGTGCCTGAGGGCCAAATCCAGTCACTCATTTTTCCTATGGACCAGTTAGTTTTGCTCAGAATCCGTTTCTCTTCTGAATTTGCAACTGTCTCTGATGTGTGCCTTTTGTTCAACACTAAAACCCCTGCAGTCTGCCCTGCTCTTCTATACTACCTGTACAAAGTCTTTTCTTATTTTCAATAAATGTCAGACACTATTGAAAAAGAATTTAGTCTCAATGCATGTGGCACCTTTCCCTCCCTGGTCCTGTAAATGGGATTCATATCTTGTTCTGAAGCTATATGCCCTGTCATTCAGTGGCTGGTGTTTATTCTTGCACTATAAGACAAAAGGTTTTGTTTTATGATTGTCCTGGAGATGGAGACCTTACTGGCAACCATGCAGTGCCAAATGAGGACTCTTCTAAACCAGTCACTTTCATGCCCCTTAGAAAGTAGACCTTGATCTTATTTTGGCCAAGGCAATCTGAAGAGCCATGGAAAAATTCCAAAAAATTTTCTTTATTTTTTAAAGAAAATGGCTTTAAAGCACAAATCCCATATTTTAACAAGCCATAAATCCCACACATTTTTGGTGAACAGATGTCAAAGTTTTATCTAACTGATTATTCATGGTCCCAGCAGAATGGCTTAGGTGCTTTAGAAATGGCATTTACACGTATATTGCCTCACATTTTTAGGTAACAGATTAAGGAATGCAAGACTGTGATTAATTTAGGTAGAAATCTGGTTGATACCCTGAAGGCAAATAAAATTATAACCTTTAATGGGCAGAAAATAAATTATCACTCATTATTTAGGTTAGCTTATAAATTTTTATTGATGTAAAAAGCATTTTGCTGTTTAATCAATTTTTGATCTAATAAAGTTAAATATCCCAGTTGAGTAGTTGAGTCAGATGATCTGCAGTTGCTTTTATAGAACAATGCTCTGGTGTTATATTTAAAGGTTATATTAGGGTTTTGCAGAGAAACAACCAATAAGGTACATATATATATATATGTATGTGTGTGTGTATATATATATATCCCATTGTATATTATAAGGAATTGAGTCTCATGATTTTGGAGGCCGAGCAGTCCCATGATTTGTAGCAAACTGGAGACCCCAGAAAGTGGATGTATTGTTCCAGTCTGAGTCCAAAGGCCTGAGAATCAGGTGAGCCAATGGTGTATGTTCTAGTCTGAAAGACAGTAGACTTGAGACCCAAAAAGATCTGATGTTTCAGTTTGAGTCTGAAATTAGGAAAAGACTGAGGTCCCAGCTCAAAGCAGTCAGGTAGGAAGAGTTCCCTCTTACTCAGGGGGATCAGCATTTTTGTTCTATTCAGGCCTTCAACTAATTGGATGAAGCCCACCTACATTAGGGAGGATAGTCTGCTTTACTCAGTCTACTGATTCAAGTGTTAATCTCAGCTGAAACACCCTCGCAGACACACCCAGAATAATGTTTGACCAAGTATGTGGGCACCCCATGGTTCAATCTAGTTGACACAAAATTAATCATCAGAGTTGTGCATTCAACTTTTTGCCTCGTTTCTATGTTTGGGTGATTTTTCTAGAACATGGGATAGAGGAATGAATCACACCTGTGTTTCATCACTTTTTTTTCTCTCTCCATTTGAACAGTTTTTGTCATTTATATGCTGTGGTTTGCAGGGTCGTATGTGGAGCTGAAAGTACATTATCTGCATCATGTATGTGATTATGTTTTTGTTCTCCCAAATAAAGAAAACATTAGCTTGTAATTTGGCTTGTAATCGGTCAAAATCTTCTTGAAAGCAGACAGAATATTTGAGTTACTTAATAAAATGAAGTTTTTAGAATTTAGGGCTCTTAAAACAACTGAAACCAGGCTAATTATGAGGGCCAATTCAAGTGCTGGAAGGCAGTCTTCCTGGACAGGTATGAAAGACAATTGTGTTAAGCATATTCACTGTTTATTCTGCTGAAGTGGTTGGAAAAGTGTTTGGAAGCAGTTTACATTATTGTGTAGGTACAGCATATTCGCTGTTATCTGTGTGGCTCTGGAGGTAAGTAGAATGGGCAGGGCCCTGCCAAGTATCCTTTGAACGATGTCGATAACCCTCTATCCCCTCAATAACAATGCCCCTGCAGTTTTCTTCCTCCTGGCAGAATGACCCTGTCAGGGAATTCTTTATAGTACACTAGTTCTATCATTCCAGTTCCTTTCTCATGCTACAAATATCTTGGGAAGGGTAATAGTTTGCAAGAATCAATCACAAACATCTTCATGAGATTCCATAAAAGATAGAAGAAACAGTATTTGTAAGGGAATAAGGGAAGTGTTTTTCATTAGTCTGCAATCTGAGCCCTTGCAGTTATTTTGAGTCTTCTCCCTCATTTTCTACTCTATTTTAACCAAGAAGCCACAGCTGGGAAGCAGAAGATATCAATAGACTGAGAAAATGAGGAATACACAAGGGAGTGAGGAGAAAACAATTAGCTTTGAAAAAAATTGATCATAAATGATTCATAGTGAAATTCCCAGTATAAGGAAATTAGGGAAGGCCACTACCTCCTATGAAAAGCTGGAAGAATTTCTTATTTTGTCAGCCTGCCTTCAGCATTCCTTCCTGGGAACACGCTGTGTGCAGTGACAGAAGCTTACTTAGCCAACTGCTAGGACTATAAAGATTTTCACCGGCTCAAATGGTTCCTGTGCTTAGAGGGGATAACACTTGCAGTGAGATAAGGATTACATTGTGGGACAGTATAATTTCTTTGTTATTTGGAAGAGTATTCACCTTACAACATGGAAACCTACTGATAGAAATTTGATTGTCATTTACAGAGGGATTTTATTCAGGCACCTTCAAAATTCAGGTGGATTTGCAGCCCTAAGACCTTTCCTTCTTTCACAAAGGAAGATTACAAGTGTAGTGCTGTACTAGTTTTTCTGGGCTGCCATACAAAGTACTATAAACTGGGTGGCTTAAACAACAGAAATTGATTGCCTCACAGTTCTGGAGACTAGGGGTCCAAAATCAAGGTGTCAGCAGGGTTGGTTCCTTCTGAGGCCTGCAAAGGAAGGGTCTGTTCTGGGTCTCCCTCCTTGGCCTGTAGAGGCCTGTAGTCTCCTGAGTCTTTCTCTTCACATCGTATTCCCTGTATTCATATCTGTCTCTGTGTCCACCTTATATAAGGACGCTCGTCATATTGGATCAAGTCTTGTCCTAATAACTTTATTTAACCTGATTACCTCTGTAAAGACCCTATTTGCAAATAAAGTCATGTTCCGAGATACTGGGGATTAGGACTCCCAACATATCCTTCTGGGGGGTACACAATTCAACCCTTAGCAAGTCTCATATTTGTATCGGTGTCTTCAAGAGAAAACCTCTCTGGCCTGGCCTATCCATGTAGCCTCCCTTATTCTAGATCCTATATGTCATTTCACTCTGAAATGGGTGGAAGCCCCTGGCTCCTTTTAGTACAGCAAGTTTATGGAAGGAGAGAGGGAGATAGAGGGAAGAAGGGATAGGGAGAGAGAGAGAGAATTAATCTCAGTGCAGTTCAGGGTGCCTGTATTGGCCCTGTGAGCATATATGTAACTTTTATTTTCTGGTCCTTGTTGCACAGCTTTGGAGAAATGATAATTCAGCATGCTCACTCTGCAATATCTCCTTCCTATCAAAAGTATCTCTCCGTAAGTAGGTCTATATATTGGTCTTGGGACCTGGGTAATTTTCTGGAGTTATAAATTATCCTAATAGTTTCTTACACATTCCAAAATCTTTATATGACATGATAATGTAGGGATACAAGAGCATGTTAGCAATACAGATAAATGTTTTTATAGCAATGTACTGAAATTTGAGAAATTATTATATTGGTGGTGAATTACATTGGTGCATTCAGCTCTCTAATCATTATCTAGTTGTATGTCACAGTTGGTTAACATATGATATAATTATAATGACCAACTTAGTATAATGCTTTCACAATTCATATGTCATTTTCTTTAATCTTCTCTGCAAATCTTGATTAATTGACTGTTCATTCATCAGTCGGTTATTAGTTATTAAGTACTTCCTATGTCCTAGGCACTGTACTATGAACTGTCAATACATCATTGCAAAATTATGACCCAAGTCTTCAAGGAATTTACTGTATATTTGGCTGTAGCAGACAAAGACATGTATGTGGAGTTTCAGCTTTGGATTTGATTAAGAAGGGCTTGAGACCACGCTTGGTCACACGAGCTGTATGACACTATGCAAATTTCTTAAACTTCCTAAGCCACTATTTCCTCATCTGTAAAGTAGGTAACATAATACCGATATACTAGGGTCCCTATGAGGATTCAATGAGATGGCAAATGTAAAGTTCTGAGCATTAAACAAATGGGACATACTGTAATTGTACCAACAACAATAATTTTACTATGTTTTTAGCATATGATAATGATGTGGGGCCTGTATGTGGCACAGTGGGAGCATAAATGAAAGAACAATTAAATTTGCCCTTACGTGAGGCAGGACCATCTCAATAGAGGAAGTGGTAAATTAGTTGAGATTTGATTCCAATCTAAGAGGGCCACCTCTATTTGAGATACTGAAGAATGACAGTATGGTTAGCATATAAAAGTTAGGAACAGGACATGATCGGAGTTGAGATGGCACAGGTAGAAGGCTACATCATGAAGGGTCACGTATGTCATGCTAAGGCATATATCAATTATTGTGTAATCACTGGAGAACAATGGAAAGACATCAAATGGGGGACTTATTTCATAAGATTTGAGTTTCAATGTTCAGTCTGGGGCTGAAATTAAAGATAGATTGTGGTGGCCAGGCGTGGTGGCTCACACCTGTAATCCTAGCACTCTGGGAGGCCGAGGCATGTGTATCGTTTGAGTTCAGGAGTTCGAGGCCAGCCTGAGCAAGAGCGAGACCCCGTCTCTACTAAAAATAGAAAGAAATTAATCGGACAACTAAAAATATATAGAAAAAATTAGCCGGGCATGGTGGCGCATGCCTGTAGTCCCAGCTACTCGGGAGGCTGAGGCAGGAGGATTGCTTGAGCCCAGGAGTTTAAGGTTGCTGTGAGCTAGGCTGACACCATGGTACTCTAGCCCAGGCAACAGAGTGAGACTCTATCTCAAAAAAAAAAAAAAATAGATTATGGGGAGGATGGAATGTGGTCCAAGATCAATAATGAGTATTTTTGCAAGTGA